AATATCACAACAGACACTTCAGAAATACAGAAGATAATCAGAAATTATTTTGAATCCTTATACTCCAATAAATTAGAAGATAGTGAAGGCATCGATAAATTTCTGTACCATTGGTCCACCCGTCTGTTTTGGTACCAGTACCATGCTGTTTTTGTTACTATTGCTCTGTAGTATAGTTTGAAGTCTGGTATCGCTATACCGCCTGATTCACACTTCCTGCTTAGCATTGTTTTTGCTATTCTGGGTCTTTTATTTTTCCATTGAATTTCATGATTGCTTTCTCTATTTCTACAAGAAATGCTGTTGGGATTTTGATTGGGATTGCATTAAACCTATAGAGAACTTTTGGTACTATCGCCATTTTGATGATGTTAGTTCTGCCTATCCATGAACAGGGTATATTTTTCCATCTTCTAAGATCTTCTTCTATTTCTCTCTTTAGGGTTCTGTAGTTTTCATTGTATAAGTCTTTCACCTCTTTTGTTAGGTTGATTCCCAAGTATTTTATTTTTTTTTTTGAGGATATTGTGAATGGAGTGGTTGTCCTCATTTCCATTTCAGAGGATTTGTCGCTGATATACAGGAATGCCTTTGATTTATGCGTGTTGATTTTATAGCCTGCCACTTTGCTGAATTCATTTATTAGCTCTAATAGTTTCTTTGTAGACCCTTTTGGGTCTGCTAGGTATAGAATCATGTCATCTGAAAATAGTGATAATTTAAGTTCTTCTTTTCCTATTTTTGTGCCTTTAATTTCTTTCGTCTGTCTAATTGCTCTGGCCAGTGTTTCGAGAACTATGTTGAACAGAAGTGGTGAGAGAGGGCATCCCTGTCTTGTTCCAGATAGAGATCCAGAATGGAAGTTTTTGATCCATTTAAAGCACATGTGTTTTAATATTACTAAATAACACCTATCAGGGTCTGGATGTGAGGTGTCCCCCAGAAGCTCACATGTAAGACAAGAAGATTCTGAAGAGAAATAATTGGGCTGTGAAATTCTTAACTCAATCAGTGAATTAATCACTTGATGGGATTAATTGAGTGGTGATTAAAGGCAGGTGAGGTGTGGCTGGAGGAGGTGGGGCATTGGGGGTATGGCTTTGGGTGTATGTTTGTATCTGGCGAGTGGAATCTCTCTCTCTCTCTCTCTCTCTCTCTCTCTCTCTCTCTCTCCCCGCTTCCTGATCATCATGTGAGCTGCTTCCCTCTGCCCCACTCTTCCCAGCCTCTAGTATTCAACCTTCTACACTCAGATCTGTCAGGGACTAGAAGGAAATTCTCCTTCAAAGATTAGCCTGACAGCCCCCTGGGAGACATCCTGCCTGGGAGGCATCCTGCAGCTACCTATCTCCCTGAGACATCCAACTAGCTTCAATGATAGGAAGAATTATTATCTCATAGAATTAGAAATCCAAGGTAGGAAGTTTCCAGAATGTGTTAATTCAGCAGCTCAACATTACCAAGAACCCCAATAATTTTCACCTTTCTTCTCTGCCAACCTAATTGTGCCTTCTGGCCACGTTCCTCATGGTGAGTAGGTAGCTGCCTCCATTCAAGACATCAAGTCCTAATGAGGAATGCTTGACTGAAGAAAAGAAGCTGGCTATCCCCCTTGTCTGCTTTCATAAGACAAGAAGTTCTTGTTCTATTTTGGACTTTTGATGTCCCCCAATAAGTTCATGTTTTGAAAGCATGGTCCCCAATACAGCAAGGCTTGCATGGGGCTTTTAGGCAAGGGTTAGATCATAGGGGCTATACCTCATCAGTTGATTAATCCATCTGATAGATTAAAAAACTGAATGGACCACTGGGTGGTAACTGTAAGCAAGTGGAGTATGGCTTAAGAAAGTAGGTCACTGTGGGTATAGCCTTGAACTATTTCTTGTCCCTGGCTCTTCCCTCAGTATGCTTCCTGGCTCTCATGAACTGAGCAGATGTCCTCTGCCACACCCTTCCACCATGATTTTTTGGCTCACCTCAGGCCCAGAGCAATGGAATTGGCCCACCATGGACTGAATCTCTGAAACAGCACAAAATAAACTTTTCCATTTATCCGTTGTTCTTTGATCACAGCAGGAAAAAAAAAATACTAACTCAGCCCTTAACATGGTCTTGCATGGCTGAGACCAGTCAGCATTAGGCCAGGTGATCTCTAGGTATCTGAGTAATTTAACTGTTACATTTTTTTTTTAGAGAGAGAGAGAGAGAGAGAGAGAGAGAATTTTTTTTGTAGATGGACACAACACAATGCCTTTATGTTTATGTGGTGCTGAGAATCGAACCCGGGTCCCACCTGTTCTAGGGGAGTGCTCTACCGCTGAGCCACAATCCCAGTCCAACTGTTACATCTTAACTAAAAAATTAAGATTGGCCATTTTGATAAGGTAGAATGACTGTAGGGTAGAAACCAGCAATGCCTGCCCACTGTCTGTCACTACCTATATGACTGAATAGGATATTGAAGATCTTTGAGCCATGATGTCCACATTTGTGAAATAAGGAGTTTCATAAATTCCATGTCACTTTTCAATTTACTATTAATTATGCTTTATGAAAATTTATCTAGTTAATTCTATTTCGATTGAGGTTTAGTAGGTTGGTGGTATGCTACTGCAGTGTTTCAGATAAAATCGTGATAACGGTTAAGTGAACAGGTTAAAAAAAATTACAATTCCTACACAGAAAAAAAAGGACTTATTTCCTTTACAGTAACAAAAGGAAGACACAAGAAAGTTACCTTTGTGTTTGAAAGAAAAAAAAATCCAATTAAATAAATGGGCAAAGTTTTTGAACAGACAGATCCCAGAGGAAGAAATAAAAATGATTCTTAAATAAATGAAAAATGATTCAACCTCCATCCAAAAGACAGCAATGCACATTAAAGCTCGACTGCGACACCATTTTAAACCACTTGGAATCTTATCCCATGTCTGCAGAGGAGGGGAAACATTCAACGGGGGAATAATTGTGAGAATTAAGTGAGAAACAACATACAAATATTGTAACTCTGTCAACTCAAACAACTACCATGTTTTTAAAAAATTACTGTATTAGGTTCTCCAGAGAAACAGAGACAGATTACAAATGATTTGCTCACACAATTATGGAGGCTGAGAAGCCCCAGGATCTGCATTCAGCAAGCTGAAGCCCCAGGAGAAATGAAGGTCAAGTTCCTGTTCTAAAGGAAGCAAGCTCAAGACCCACACATGGCGATGTTTCAATTCAACACCAAAGGCCTTTAAAGACCAATATCATGCTCACATGGTCAGGCAGGAGGAGTTTCTTCTTACTAGTAGAGGGATAAGCATTTTGCTGTATTCAAGCCTTTAACTGATTGGATAAGGCCCACCTGCTCTAGCAAAGACAATCTTCTTTATTCAGTATATTGAGGAAAAGATTCATCTCATCCAAAAACACCCTCACAGACATACCCAAAATAATGATTGACCAAATATCTGGGGTCCTTGTGGCCCTGTGATGTTGACATAAAATAGTAACCATCAAAACTACAAAAAATCTCAGTAGTTTATAAGGAGCGTTTGTCTTCCTTAGACCGGGGCTAGCTGAGACATACTCTCATTACAATGATGGGACACCAGAGAACATGCCCAACTGCACAAGCACATTCCAAGCATCTGCTCAGACCACATCTGATAGCGTTCAATGAGGGGAAGCAAGGTGCTTAACAAGTCAGTGAGCTTGACTCTGTACCTACCTCAACTAGGAGAAGCTGTAGAGCTACAGAGTCAAGGTCTTGGATACAAGGAATGGCAAACACTGGGATGAGTAATCCATTCACTATGGTAACCCGTGCCTGCAACACACTAGAGAATCAACAAATTGTGTTTGTGTCCTTTCTCACCCCACACCCATCCCATTGCTATTTTCCAATTTTTCTTTGCCATTTTCTATGTTGAATATAAACATCATATTTTTAAGAATCAAGATAATGCTTGAAACAAGGAAAGGATCCCTCTGCATGGAAGCTGCTGTTTCACTGACCCACAATCCCTCTTAGTTCATGTCCTCGGAAGATTTGACGATCCATTAGGAGCTGCAATGTGTATAAGTCATTTCCTTCAGAGTCTTCGGGGAGCCCTGCTCACGCTTGCCTATGTTGAATTTCACCTGCTGTTATTTTGCTCAGTTCACTGTTTGTTGCACAATTATCTAATCTATGTAGTATGTTCTGAAAATCTTTAAAGGTCCTTTCCCATCTTTGCCCTGACTAAATAATTTATCATCTGGTACATTAACAGGCATGCCAGTCAGCCCACGTTGTCAGAGTTCTTTGAAAATATGAACATTTCAAGTCTCAGTGTAGAAGGCAAGGATGTTGTACAATTAATTTCTTTTCATGCTGTGACTTGACTTTTTCTCCTCCTTGCCTTATTAATCTCTCAACTCACTTTTTAATCCATAATAGGATTTTACATTTTTACCACAATTGTGCCAGTTTCTTTCAGTTCTTCCTTATGGAACAAATACGAAGATTGTATCATAGTTTTTTTTTTTTTGCCCCTCAAATAAACAACTTTATTTTAAAAATTGAGGATGAATGCCACCATGAAGCAAAACTCGACTTCATAGTCTGTGTAGCTGTACAGGTGGGACACAGGGCTTAAGTGGACAGCATTTTCCATCAGAGAAGAATGCAGGAGAATTCTCCCAATACTCAACCACACAACACCTGCCACCATGAACTATCAGCACCAGGGCTTCATCAACCAGCCCCAACCAACAACCAGGAGCCACCGTCACCTTAGCAGGGCATGAGGAAAACAGATCAAGAACTCATACAGCTAGAAGGGTATCTCACAACAGAGTATTTAAATTCTCGGCTAACATTTCTCTCACTTATCTCCCACATTTGAAAAGTCAAAATATCACTTGAGCCACGCTGGGTTGTGGGTAAAGAGGTCAATGGGCCATAACAGATTGAAAAGACGTCAACAAGACATGCAAACACGGTAAATAAAGTTAAAGTCCAACAACAATAATAAGGACAAGATAACTGAGTTTCTCTTTCTACTCATGGGGGGAGCACCTCAAACAATCAATTAGAAACAAATCCCTAATGTGTGTTGTTGTGCTCTCAGCTTTGTATACATCCACACTGGAAGCATGGCTAGTGATATTTTGACATTTGCTTTTGTTTTGTAAATGCTAATATGGTTTTTAAAAAAAAAAGTCCGTCTTTCAACATTCAAACCAGAACAGAGAGATGGGAGTAAATTATAAAATGTGGATGCAGCAATATCCACAAGATGTGGGGTGGGGGAGGGGAGAAGGGGTAGGCATTTGTGTTGCTGGTGTTGGCAGAAGAGGTGAGCAGTCTCACAGAGCCACCTCCACTGAGTGGCAGTCAGGATTCTAGGTTTGCCAAGAAGGGGTATCACGAATCCCAAGGCCCACCACCTATCCCTTCTCCTCTTCTCCGAGGGCACCTACCTTACTGTAAGTCACTATTGATAAGTTGTTTGCGTGACTGCTGGGGGACAGATTTACAGAGTTCTGTGAGAGTCTATTCTGATCTTGCTCGGTTTGGTCAGGAGCAGGAGCCCATGTGTTTTTGCTGATCGAGTCGAACCCGGAACCCCCAGGGTCTTTTAAGTTGTTTTCATCTGATTGTCGGTTCTTTTGGGGAGAGGCAAACGGGTTGAAGTTTCCTTCTACCTTGCGATGAGGCTGTGTGTTGAACTCCGTTTCAAAAGATGACAGCTGCTGCGTTACTCCTAACAGTCCACCCACCTCCACACTGAGAATCACCCAGATGGCATCTCCATAATAGAGTCCTGTAGCAGTGCACATCCGCCACTGTCCCTGATACATTCCTGCTCTGCTGGGGCTGCACATCTGGACGCTGACATCTGCAATTTCTTGTGGCTCTAATGATCTCACCATCACCATGTTCACATGTCCAAACTGGTCTCCCCCGACATACTTTTTTTTTAAATTTTTTATTGTTGGCTGTTCAAAACATTACATAGTTCTTGATATATCATATTTCACACTTTGATTCAAGTGGGTTATGAGCTCCCATTTTTACCCCATATACAGATTGCAGAATCACATCAGTTACACATCCATTGATTTACATATTGCCATACTAGTGACTGTTGTATTCTGCTGCCTTTCCTATCCTCTACTATCCCCCCTCCCCTCCCCTCCCCTCCCCTCCCCTCCCCTCCCCTCTTCTCTCTCTGCCCCCTCTACTGACATTCGTTTGTCACCCTTGTATTATTTTTCCCTTTCCCCTCATTTCCTCTTGTATGTACTTTTGTATAACCCTGAGGGTCTCCTTCCATTTCCATGCATTTTCCCTTCTCTCTCCCTTTCCCTCCCACCTCTCATCCCTGTTTAATGTTAATCTTCTTCTCATGCTCTTCATCCCTACTCTGTTCTTAGTTACTCTCCTTATATCAAAGAAGACATTTGGCATTTGTTTTTTAGGGATTGGCTAGCTTCACTTAGCATAATCTGCTCTAATGCCATCCATTTCCCTGTAAATTCTATGATTTTGTCATTTTTTAATGCAGAGTAATACTCCATTGTGTATAAATGCCACATTTTTTTTATCCATTCATCCATTGAAGGGCATCTAGGTTGGTTCCACAGTCTAGCTATTGTGAATTGTGCTGCTATGAACATCCATGTAGCAGTGTCCCTGTAGCATGATCTTTTTAGGTCTTTAGTCCCCCGACATACTTAAGACAAACCCCTGGAGGCCAGGCCTCTGCCCCAGAATTCTGGATCCGCCATGTTTTTATAAACTGAGTATCAGGAGGTATTGACTCCCCTTCTCCTATGGTGACATCTTTAACAAAGGACATGGAGGGCACACTGATGTTTGGGCTCTCAAAGTCATAATAGGCTCCAATTGCTGCCTGTAAGTTCCAGTTGGTCATGTCCAGGAAGAAGGCGCAGCCAGCCGGGTTGAGCTGGAAGCCAAGCAGCCGCTGGAACTCGGAGATGAGCACGTCCTTGTCGGTGGTGCCCAAACAGCTGAACTTCTGCATCAGCTCCGGGTCCAGATCCACCTCCATGCCCTCCACGGCGGGGGCCGGACACCCGCTTCCCCGCCTCCTCACTACCGAGCCGCCGCCGCCGCCGCGCCGCCAGGCCCAGGAACCGGGAGGGGGTCCGTTGCTAGCTGGCGCCGCGACCCCTCTCCTCCGAGGTAGGCCCCGGGGCTCTCACCGCCTCATAGGGGTAAACTCACTCAGCCACTCACTCTCCGGCTCCCCCCCTCCCACCGCCCCCAACGCCGCCACCTCCGCCGCTACCGCCTCTGGCTTCTCCTGTATCATAGTTTAAATACTCACATTAATACCCAAGGCAATGTAAAAATCACTCCGAGAGAAGTGAAGGATTTACATGGAATTTTAATCCTTAGAAGGATGAGGAGGTGTATTAACCCTTAAGATGTCTTACTACAGAAGTCAAGAACACCAGTGATTTCACCTTTTCCAATATCTGTTAGGTTCTCTATGGACATGATGTTCTGTTTTACTTGGTCCCAAACTCCACTTTTGTTACCGTTATCTTTGCTTTGCAGATGAAGAAACTGGAGTTAAGTGAGATTAGAAGACTTGACCTGGATGACAGGAACCAAAAAAACAGAGCAAAGATCTGAACCATGAAATAGCTTATTCCAAAATAATGGCTTATTCCAAAATCCTTCTCTAAGCACCTGTTTCTTTTTTATGACTCTTAGGGATAAGCGAAACTTTTCACATCCCATAGTAATATTAGAAATTAATTACAAAAATTAATTAAAGCAATAAAATAAAACACTTTTTTTCCCAAACTATATACTCCTACCACAAATGAAAACTATATGTCCTTATAATGTTTGGAGTTTCCCTCTCTAATTTTAAGAATCAGTCTTTTATAATATTCAAATGAGTCCATGAGAAATATCTCCCCAACACAGGTGTCCAATTCACCAGGGGAAAAAACCTTACGTGACCAGTGCTCCAATGTAAGCACATGGATTTTTAAATCATTTACATGGGCTACTTTCATCTGTATGTGAAATTTTTCATATAGCTAATGTTATTTGTTTAGGAAGTATTTGTATCTGCTCCACATGGATAGGGAAAAAAGGAGAGTTAGGCACTGAGGCTGGATTGTAAGCCCTTTGAGGTCCTCAGCAAGGTCCCATTTGCCTTTGAATCTGAAGGACCTGCACAGAATTAGAGCACACTAGGTGTGTCACTGGGACATACAAGGTAGAAGATGAATGGCAACTGAGTCAGGTAAGATTTTTTGAGAAGATTGGAGCCATGTACCTGTTGAGCTTCTCTTAACTCCGGGACAAGACCTTTGACCAAGGACACACCAAATTTTCCATTCTCTCCCCAAGTGACATGATTTTCCCCATTAAAAGAAACTGACTGGCTGCCACAAACCTCAAGTTACTGCTTTAGGAGGCACCAGAGGAAAGAGTCCTGAAGACACAGGGCCAGCCAGGTTTGAGTCTCAGCTCTCACTGGAAGACTTCCTGCCCTTATTCAAGTCACTCCAAACCACGGTGCTCCTTGCCTGTTCTCTGCTCTAGAGGGTTGACTTTATCTTCATGAATAGTCTTTCAGCTACCCTAATCAAAGAGAATGCCTGGGATTTATTTCTTTACAAGATTAGATACTGCACATCCTTGGATTTATGTAAACATGTTTTAAAAAGTATTATTTGAACCAACCCACTATTAGATTGAGGGGAAAAAATCCAAAAGTTGTTCTTTCCTCTTCAAATTTCTTGGTAAATAAGCAAGCATTGATGGGAGGTAAGTGAGGGGTCAGCTTGTCTTAATGTTCTGCCTGATCCAAACACAGCAAGCTTTCTAATGCACACCAGCCTTCAGTTCCTCCCCAATAAACCCCAGGTCTATAAACTCCAAACTCTTCCCCCATGAAGCGCACCCTTTCGGTGGACTCCCAAGAGGGATAAATGCAGTCAAATTAAGGTTACTGAGTGACTCAGGAAGATACACATCCGTACATTTACCTTCTATGTTAATTTCTGATCAGGAAATGCAGGCAACTTGATTAAATTTGTAGAAATTCCATTATGGGAAAAGACAAAGGAAGGAGAGAGTCAGAGGAAGAGAGCATCTCTCTTCAAATAACCAAAAATTTTCACTTTAGAAAAAAATTTATTTATTTATATAATCATATATATCAATATATAATTATTCATATGCATTAACATATTGCATATAATTCAATCTGCTAGACTTATATTTTATCTAAAAATTGCCTCCTGAGATTTTTATCATGCTTTGCTTTTTCAAAAACAACACTAATGTGAATGATGGAAATAAGTTAAGCTGTATAAGTGGAAAATTCTGCCATCAACTGACAATTTTCCGTTAGAGACATGCCCTTTATCTCTTGCATTAGATCTATTTGTCATCCTGAAAATAAACATTCTTCTCCGAGATTGAAACAGCCATGCTACCATAGGGTTTCACAAAGTAAGCTTCTACTCCCCAATATTTATTGTGTTGAGGATAGGAAAGTCACACATAGTATAGAATCAAAATCAAAGAGGTTCAACTTTAAGGGGCATTCAGTGGGACTAAAAGAGAATCACCATTTTTCCTCCCTCTCTTGAAATATTTTTCTCAAGGAAACCCCACATTCAAATGCTCCATGTGAGAAGCACCGCTCTCTGAACAATCTCCCCGGAAGTAGATTGAGAAAAGGGTTATTTTCTGGTTTAAATGTCACTTCCTTGCAAGAGCAGCTTCTGAAGTGCTTTACACTATGAACAGGAAGCCCAGAGCATCAAGTTCCCAAAGCCAACTTTGATCAGCTTGTATGGACCAGATGCTTTTTCAGTGTGTCACTTGGTGGGAGTAGGACAGTATTGTCTCCCCATCCCCCATGCAGCTGAGTAAATTGAAGACCAGAAAAGTTAAATTTCCTCTCCAAACTAGGCAACCAGCAAATGACAGGTCTGTTCATGCCAAAGCCCACTAGATCTGGACAGAATCTACTGATGTTTCCGTTTGGTTTTCGTCTTAGCAATGGCGGAATCAAATAGAAATTTTTAAAGATGCTTCTGTTATCTCATACAAGATTAATCTCTATCAATGGATGAATAGATAAATAAAATGGGGTATATATACACAATGGAGTTTTATTCAGCCGTAAAGAAAAATGAAATTATGTCATTTGGAGGGAAATGGTCGGAATTAGAGACCATTATGTTTGGCCAAACTTAGAAGGTCAAGGGTTGTATGTTTTCTCTCAGATCTGGAAGCTGGAGAGGAAAAAGGAAAAGAAATAGGGATGGATCTCATGAAAACCAAAAAGAAAACAACAGAGCAAAGAGACCAGGGGATGGAAGGTGGGGAGGGAGGGGGCCGTTCTTGGGGTGATCATAATCATTTTCTATTGTTATATTGTGTGCATGTACGAACATGTAACAAAAAATCCCATCATTATGTGAAACTATAATGCACCAATAATAGATGTGAAAAGAAATGATTAATCACTACTATTGACTTGATTTACATTGTGGGCTTCTTTTTAACATTTAAAATTAAACACAACTACTTTTTCGCTGACAACAAATCTACAGTTTCTTAATTGACTTAAAGATGTATAAAGAAATCCAGTGTGACCAAAACTTTCTCCCTACAAGCTTATAGCGTTTTTTATAGCCTTCATGATCTTCCTTACAACATCTTTCTATAAAATCTAATGACTACAACTCACAATTACTCATAGTTTCCAAAGACTGCTATTTCTAAACTAGTTCACCCCCAAGAAGCTATAGAAAGACTGAAAGATTGATTTCATTGTTTTAGCCTTTCCTAAATAAAAACAGAACAGAGTGTAAACGTTCTAAGTGAACACAGTTCTAACCCATACCTATTGTCTGCATTTTTAATAAGCAGAGTGTTTCTTTCCGGCTGGGGTTGTGGCTCAGTGGTAGATCGCTTGCCTTGCACATGTGAGGCACTGGGTTCAATCCTCAGCACCACATAAAAATAAATAAAAAAGCTGGATGAGGTGGCACACGTCTGTAATTCCAGCGACTGGGGAGAGTGAGACAGGAGGATTGTGAGTTCAAAGGCAGCCTCCAAAATGGTGAGGTGCTAAGCAACTCAGTGAGACTCGGTCTCTAAATAAAATACAAAATTTGGCTGGGGATGTGGCTCAGTGGTTGAGTGCTCCTGAGTTCAATCCCTGATACCAAAATAAAGATCTTTTTTTTTAAAAAAGTTTCTTTCCTTTCTGATACTGCAGGCTATTCATCCCTTTCCCCTCATTTCTTTAGGACAGATGATAGAATCATAATCAAGTGAATTCTCCCATCATCCCAAAGCATAAAATGCAAATACACACACACAAAATCAAAGTGTGGGCACACACACATTCCTATTTATGAACTTATTAGAAAAACTACAGCAATATGTCTTTCCTTCCTAAAGCCCGCTGATTGCGCAATCCCAAGCAAGATGAATTTGTACCATTTGCTTTGGGATTCAACAAGATTTAAATTTCTCACAATTTTCTCTCCTTTAAAACTAGTGGGTAAAGTGCCACTTAAAATTATGCAGGAAAAAAAATATACTATCCATGCCTTTAAACATAAGTAGACTAGTAATTAGACCTTGAATTTGATAATGAAATTAGCCTCAGGAGTTCTCATGTATACTCATCTCTTTCAACATGCTCTTACCCAACACAAGCATAAATTTTCATGGCATTTAATAGGTATTCACTGTAAAAAGGTGTGGAAAGAGATATCGCTGGAATCTCAAAAGAAAATGAAAAAGCATTAAGATCCATCCAAAATGTACAACTGGAGCCCCACTGTTGTGGTTCAGTTTTCAGGAATATGGGATCATGATGATGTTCCAATGTGTCCATTTATTCTTCCAAAGCCTGGTTAACTACGCCTTTGTAGTTATGTACATAATGTATTTATCCACCTCGTTATGGAGCAGATCACATAGATGCAAATTACCCACACTGATACCAGCTCATCAGATCCTGCTTGCACTTACCTAAGAAAAGCATTTCATCCATTTGCCAAGAACTTGTCCCTGTGCTTTTAAAGGATTCTTCAAGGAAGAAATGCAAAACCAAATTAGCAATGGGAATCATAACTGGGTCTCAGCTTCTCTCTTAGATGAGCAACATGTGAGTTTAGAGCTATCTTTACTGTTCTTTCAGATGCTATCAAAAAGACCATCAAAGAGAAGGGCTGCATCCAGACTGCACACAAGGACCACGAAGCTGCCCCTATTTGTCATTATTGTTGTGATTGTCCTCAAGTTCCCTGATGGTAAACAATGTGCTGTGTAACAAATGATACTGGGTAGAACCCCATCGATTTTCCTAACACATGTTGTATTTAGTTTCCTAGGTCTGCTGGTCCAGGGTACTATAGGCAGGGGAGCTACAGCACAGATGTTTATTTTATCATAGCTCCAGAGGCAGGAAGCACAAAATCAAGGTGTGGGCATGGTCGGTTCCA